TAAGGACGTCTTGAGACCTAATATAAAAGTAATAATAATAAAAAAAGATGTGACCGCCAGTTGGTATATTGCACCATAAAATTTTAAGGTTACGAAGGATTAAATTCCACCAAAAAGTACAGGGAGAAAAAGAGTGGTTCGTACTAAAAAATTCACTAAAGGTATTTGTAAAAGAATTAGATGAAATTCTGCTCGATCTGGAAGATCAATTGCAAAAGAATTTGGAACCGAATCCAAGACCATCATTTGATTAAAAGCAGCGGTATAAAAGTTTATAAAAAACAATTATCTGCGGGTCTGACAAACACAAACAGGCTTAAGAGATGAAAAATGATAAAGAACCGGCATAGTGGCCCACCGATAACTTTTTCTGATGAAAATTTATTCATGTTTGAGCGTCTCCTTAACAAACAAAATGAAAGAATTAATGGAGTAAATTTGCTAGAAATCCAATATTATGTAAGAGCTACTCCTCGATCCCAAAATGCAATGAGTTATGGTTTTTGGTGCATACTCCAAGGAAAGAAAACATCTTCTAAAATTTATTGATAAAGAAATTAAAATGAACTAGCTGCGCTATTTAAATGACATTTTGTAGTCATAATAAATGAAAATATTAAAATAAAAAGGAAATCATATCATAATACATATCGTCCTCTTGAAACTAATAAAAGTTAAAAAATTGACAATACTTAAAAATTATTCTTTTTCTTTTCTTTTAAAACGGAGCGATTTTTATACTTTATTTTTTAATTGTGTTGCTTTTTTCCTTTTTTTTTCCTTTTGTTTTGGTTTCTAATTTTTTGTTTACCTTGTTTGCTTTTTCATTTTTTTTTTCTCTGTTCACTCTTCATTTTATTTTTTTTATTCGATTAAATCTTTCCTTTTTTTTTCAAAAATCAACAAAACAACAAGTTTTCAATAAATTTTTTGTTTTTGAAAAGTTTTAAATATAAATACAGTGCTTCCAGAATTAGCGCACTCATATTTTTTTTTACCTCAGCGAGCCTCAAATGAGCGTAATTCGAAAACAATATAAGGCTGATTGATAGTTTTTTTTTTTACTTATAAAATAAAGCAGAGTACAAAGCATTACTAATTGTCAAAAAAAGTATTTATTATTATCTTGAATTTAATAAGAATACAATAAGAGTGATAAAAACAATATTAAAAAAGTGTGTAAAAATATTAGCGTACTTACAGTTTTTTAAAGATTTTAAGAAAGTTTAATATTCTATGTTAACCACCTTTGTTTTTAAGGCATGCCAAGACTCGCGGGATAGAATATTTAAGTTTTTTTATTAATTATTTTGGCACGGTATTCCACAACTTTTGCATTTGTGTTTTGAGCTGCACCAAGTTAGTGGGCTTGCTTTTTTATAATTTGCAGTCCATCCAACTCCAAAGATTCTTAATAGGATTTAATTCAGGAGAGCGGCCATTATTCCTCCAGTATTGCTCAATTGAGCATGTTGTGTGGCAAGGAGTGTTATCTTGTTGAAATTGCCAGGTGGAGTCAGCCTTGAAAGCGCCCATTGACAGTTTTAAATAATCTTCTAATATCTCTCTTTATCGATGTTGATTAAGGCAATCAGTGTAAAAATGCGCCAGGCCATTGCTAGATCCAGCAATGCAGCCCCTTTTTTTGCAATTGATAAGTTAAAAATTTGACTCGTCCGAGAAAATTACTTTTCTTCATCACTCTACAGTCCACGCAGCTCTCTCTTTGCACTATTTTCTTTGCTTGAGATGGTCTTTGATACTTAGTAGTGGCTTCTTTGTTGCAAGGTATGAATTGTGATGCTTTTTCTTCATCAGCTTGCTAATTGTTGATCGGCTAACTTGATGTGCATCCATCGCTGTATTTCGGCTATGTTCATGTTCGGGTTGCGTCTAGCGAGCATAATTGCTTTATTTTCGTCCCTTTCGTACATTTTTTTGGGACAACCAGACCGACACCTTTACTTTTAAATACATCAAAATAAAAAAATAACAATAAAAATTCATGTTTATATATGGACATATAAAATACTTTTATGTTGCTCCTGCACAGTTCGGTTTACTGGAGTTTGCGGATTAAGCCATCGGTGTGCTAATTTATCGCATTTGTCAAAAATTATATTTTTTTTTAACAGAGATTGGAAATATATTTATTTTATTAAGTATACTATTTATAGAAATATATTTATTTATTTATTTATAGAAATTTATTTATTTATACTAAATATAGAAATATATTTATTTTATTAAGTATATTATTTTATTTAGTATAGGCAAGTATACCCTAGGTCTTTTTATCGATTTAAGTAAAGCTTTCGATACAGTCAATCATCAAATCCTTCTATCGAAACTTAAAAGTTATGGTATAAAAAATACTAACTTGTCCTGGTTCGAGAGTTATTTGACCAATAGGAAGCAGTATATAGTTTCTGATGAAGGAAAAACTAATTATGAGACAATTAAATGTGGTGTTCCTCAAGGATCAATTTTAGGGCCACTTCTATTTCTTGTTTATATAAAGGATTTAAATAAATTTTCTAACATTTTAGATACAATTTTATTTGCAGATGATACCAGCTTGTTTTATTCCAATAAAGGTATCAATATATTATTCCAAACATTAAACAAAGAACTAGACAAACTAACACAATGGTTTAAATCAAACAAGTTATCTTTAAATATTACTAAAACAAAATACTTTATTCCATCCCCTACATAAAAATTCAGATATTCCCTTAGAACTCCCAGACCTTTTTATTGACAATCAATTAATAAAGAGAGAGCAATCAATAAAGTTTTTAGGCGTGTTTCTAGACAAAAATGTAACCTGGAGGGAACACATAGGTGTAGTTGAAGATAAAATATCAAAAAATTTAGGTATAATGTACAAAGCAAAGCAGTTATTACATCGATCTTGTTTAAAAAACATTTACTTTTCTTTTATTCATTGCTACTTAAGTTATGCGAACATTGCTTGGTGTAGCACTAACGCGACCAAAATAAAAAAATTGCTTAGCAAAAAAAAACAGGCTATAAGGATGATTTCAAACGTAGATCGTTTTTCACATACACAAACACTTTTTAATGAACTCAATATCCTAAATGTATATAAACTAAACCTATATCAAGTTCTTATTTTCATTTTCAAACTTGATAAAAATATATTACCAATCTTATTTTATTCAATTTTTGAAAAAATAAATCACATATACCCTACAAGATTTTCAAAATACAACTACATTCAATCCAAAACTTATTATTCCGCTACTAAATTCTCTATTGTAAACCGAGGACCAAAGTTGTGGAACATAATATTAAATAATGAAATGAAAACTAATTATTCTCTAAACCAATTCAAAACAAAACTTAAGCAATTACTTTTGTTAACTGAAAATAAATTAATTTTTTTCTAATAAAACTTCTTTATATTAGAAATCAATAATTAATAGTTAATTAATTAATTACTTTAGATTATTAATACATAACTAATCAACAATTGTACATATATTTTTATCATTTTAAATGATAATCTTCTTTTTGAGAAATTTTTTTTTTATTTTTGCGTTATTTATTAATCTTTAACTTTTATTTTATACTGTTTATTTGCTTTTACTTAATTGGCAATGAAAAGTATTATAAATATAATTAAATAAGTTAAACTATAAAATGCTCTACCAATAAAATGTTTTTATATAAAATCATATTTTCTTATTTTTTCAAACCAAGTCTTAAATGTTATTTTTGTCATTTTAATATTTTATTAAATTTTGTTTCTTTTATTTTACAAAACAATTGTTAAATCTTATTCTTTGAAAAACTATAAATTTTAAACGATATGCGATATATTTAAATTTTCTTTTATAATATAAATCAGAGATATATACATTGAAACTATATTTTATTGTTAAATTATATTTTGTCTAGTAATGACGCATTTTTTGGGGCTAAATGATAAGACTAAATTTGTCTTCTTTTAGCCCCGGTCATGTAATTATTTTTTTTATAATTTACGACTGTAAATTTATTTTTTATTGGCAAAAGTGTAAATAAAATTATTAGGAGCTCGTAGAAAAATGTGATTATTCTTGTTATCGAATACCCCATTGAGAATTTATTACCATTAGGTATTTAAAAAAATGTATAAATAAATAACTTCATTTTCTATATGTATTTGTTCAAGGCCTGGTTTTTTTAGAAACCCTTTGTCAAGAAAAATGATATCAACAAACTAGATTTTATGTATATTTTAATTTTGCTTTAAAAATACTTTTACAAAAATACATTTTAATCTCGGTTAAATTTTTTTTTTTTAAAGTTGATTACAATTACAGTTTATTAATAACCGGATTTAATTTTAAAGAAAATTAATGAAGTTAATGTAGCGTTCAGTTCATAGCATGCCTAACAACTTTGATAAAAACAACGACCCCGAGTAACCCAATGTTTGTTTATTGAAAACAGTAAACAAGCTTTTTGCTGTTCTTCTTCATAAAATTCCATAAATTTCTTTAGAGTTTCTTTTTAAAATTTTCCTTGAAGCGTTCGAGTTTTTATTTTAGAAAAAAAGTTGAACTACCAATGAAAATCAAAAAAACATGGAATGAAAAAGTCTAAATGACAATGTTCAGCGTGGTGGTTCTAGGCGTATTTATTTTGATTTATGTCGAACCAATCAAAACTAATTTAAACCACTTTGTGTTACAAAAAAATTACCGAAACGTTTCACTAAATAGAGATTTTAATGTTAAAAAAAGTAATGTATTTTTTCTAAATACACCAAACTGTACAGTCAGAATTGAACAACAAAAGCATTACGTAAAGTCTGGGTATCCAGAGCCAAAGATTTTTTTCAGTAAAGCACTGTTTAATAGATCTTCTAGGAAGAATGGTTCAAGTTTGACAGGGATTTCGGTGATGCCTATTGCGCTTGCCGAAAATGTATTGACTTTGCAAAACAAAACAAATTTCAACTTTGCACAAAAAAATAATTCAATTGATAGAAATGAAAAAGAAAGGGAAAATAAAACTGAGAGTCGCTTTAATGAAAACACAAAAAGCATCGACAATGCATTAAATGAAATTATCAACGAAGAAGCTTTAGATGCCTTAAATCATTTCGTAGATAATTTTTTAGGAGATGAGACCAAAGATGTCCATTCTAAAAATGATGAAAGCAATATAATACAAAAAAAAGATAACCAAACAACTTTAAGAAATAATTTGAACACCGAATCATTTGAAAAACAAAATTATACTCAAAATGAAAAAAAAACTGAGCAAACAATGTTTAATAATAACACAAACAAATCAGTTAATGATACAGCTAGCTCGAGTGGTAGAGGAAAAAATATTGATAATGATCAAGAAAACTCGTTTAACAAACAAGTGATAAACGAAGTAATTCATAAGTTATTTTTAGCAAAAAATGATGAAGATAAATTTGAAAAGCTGTTAAAAAAAGACGATAAACTCGATGAGCCAAAAAACGATTCAACAATAGCAAAAGTAGGCTTAGACACTTTAAAAAAAAGTGACTTAGCTAAACACAACGAAAGCTCTTTTGAAGAGATAGTTGACAAATCAAACAGGGAAAAAGACTTAAACTCAAATGCTAAACTATATGGTAAAAAAAGATATGCGCTCAATCAAAATAATGTAAAACCACCTCAAAAGTTCCAAAAACCAAAACAAATAAATGTGCGCGCTCAAGAAAAATTGATAACCTTTGTTCAAAGATATCAAAACTACATGAATAATTTTTATAAGCGTGTTCATGAAATAACACACAACCCTGAATTCTGGAAAAATGTTTCAAGGGAGTATAACGCAGAGAGTTCTTTAAAAAGATATCTTGTATTCGGAAAATATAAACCAGGCCCTTTAGTGCGTGCTTTCTTGAAACTATCACCAAATTACAAAAATGTTTTACAAAATGCTATTGAAGAAAGTTCAGATCCAAGAGTTCAAAACCTATTAAAACTCTCGAATTCTTACAAATCTGTTTTACGTGCTGCTATTAAAAGGTGGTCGTGCTATATTTCTGGTCGTAAAACTGTAACTGGCTCAAAAAAAGATAAAATGATTGTAAACGAAGATACTGACATTGCTGAAGAGTTCGTAACAAAAGAAACAAATGACCCTACTAAAACATTTCTACTTCATTTGCTGGATGATACTGCTAATCCAAATATTGAAGCAAAACCTATTCACCATTATTCACAGAAAACAAATTTTCCAAATGGTTGGACGGATAATAACAAAATGAGCGTTTTAAATCAATCAACACTTTTTCAAACAAATGATTTAGAGAAGCTTGAACAGTTCAAAATGGAAGGACCTATATACATTGAATCTGGTAACCGTAAACGTCTTATTCCAAGTTCGGGAATGGAATACACGGAACAAAATAACTTAGATATTGCTGACTTTACTAACTCTGAAAGTTCTTTTGTTAACGAAGACGAAGAAAGTAATAACAACGATGTCACATGGAATACTAAAAGCAAAACTAAATTAATCGAGTTCAATGACAAAACTGACAGAAAGCGGGAAAGCAACAAAAAAACTATAAGTCAAACGTTAAAACCAGCAGCGGTACACGTATATGAAAATAAAGAAGAACTTACTGGTAATAATCAATATAATCTCATAAACGCAAATCATGATACAAATAATCTCATTAATGCAGATCGTGATACAAGTAATCTCATAAACGCAGATCAAAATATTCAACAACTCAATCAAAATAATTTAAAAAAAAACGAAGAACATATAACAAAAGAATCTAGAGATGAACAAGTTGTCGGCGAAAAAATTTCTGATAGTCAGCTTTTTGAAAATAAACATATTGGAAACGTAATGAATGCATCAGACGACATATATGTAGGAGAAGATAATGAAAGAGTGCTTACAGATATTGAGAGCGCAAAACAAATTAAAGAGCCTAAACGTGGTAGCGAAATAAAACCAGAAACAAATGAAGAGAACCTTATTTCTGATGGTATTAGTCTTTTAATGTCAAATGATAAAACTGATGCTGATAAAGCCTATTTAAATGAAAAAAAGATTACCGGAAACGTTATTAAAACGGAGCCCCTTCAATCTTACGATCTTTCCAGCACTAACCAAAATAACGATGACATTTCCAGCACTAACCAAAATAATGATGAAATTTCATATTATGAGAATCAGTTAAAACAGATAAAGAAAGAAAAAGAAAAAGAATTTCTAGATGGACTTTCTAAACGAGTCGCAATGCCAAAAGTGGCTAACTCCACTTCTCTACAAGACGTATCTTTAAATCCAAGTGGTTTTAATATTTTGAAATTAATTGGAAGATCTCAAAGAATTTCATTACCTGATGGTTTTAGAACCTCGTGGATTCGAAATAATACTAAAAAAGAGGGCATAAAAAAGGGGGGCACAAACAAGTTGCTGCCAGTAACTGCAGATAATACTTTGAACGGAGTAGTCAAAGCTGATAATAATAAAAACATTACAAATGCTTTAGAAGTTAATAATTCTTATGATAAATTTTACAACACAATGGAAAATTTGGAGAGGGATTTACCCATAGAAACAGAAACTAATGCGGAACTAGCGTCTGATGAAATGAAAGAAGACATAAGAAGCCTCTCAAATTCATTGCAGTATTACGGTGAAAACGAGACTCTTTTAAGCGAATTAACAAGACCACCTAATTCGGTTACGAAAAAAGAAAATAGCGAGGGTTCAAACAGTAACAAAACGTCATTCAATAAAAAGGAGCTTTCTAATGAATCCCGTAAACAATCACATAAACCTTTTGAAAAAAAACATTCTGGTGGAAAAATATTTGACTCAAATGACAGAGATTCTGTAAATGGAACCAAAAAGACAATAGCAAAAAAAAAGATGAAACCATTTTAAAAATTCACTTATAAGTTCTATTGCGAAATAATTATGTATCATAACTATAATTTTGTATAGATTACTTCATACATAATTACATAATTACTTCATACATAGTTACATAATTACTTCATACATAGTTACATAATTACTTCATACATAGTTACATAATTACTTCATACATAGTTACATAATTACTTCATATATAGTTACATAATTACTTCATACATAATTGCATAGTTTAATTATATATAACTACATAATTACTACATAGATAATTACATAATTACTATCTTCGTATTTAAACTGCTCTCGTGCAATTAATTCCGTTATACAATAATTACAATTTAGAAAAATATCTAGTTGTATAATATCCAGATATTGTGTAAAAAAGTATATAACAAAATACCTAATTTTTATTAAATTTTTTCACTCGTTTATTCATTCTTATTATATTTATATATTTATATATATATATATATATATATATATATATATATATATATATATATATATATATATATATATATATATATATATATATACATATACATATATATATATATATATATATATATATATATAATATATATATATATATATATATATATATATATATATATATATATATATATATATATATATATATATATATATATATATATATTTTATATATATATATATATAAAAACTTGAAATATGATTTTTAACCAATATAAAGCAAAAGATAGTCAAGCCAGTAAACAAAAGTAAATCTTTTTTTCTTAAAATATTTATTACTCATTACACAGGGACTAAAAAGTTTCAGTATGTGTTTTTTTCCGTCATACTGAAACTTTTTAGTCCCTGTGTAATAAGTAATAAATATTTTGAGAAAAAACAGATTTACTTTTGTTTACTAGCTTGACTATCTTTTGCTTTATATTGGTTAAAAATCATATTTCAAGTTTATATATATATATATATATATATATATATATATATATATATATATATATATATATATATATATATATATATAATATATATATATATATATATATATATATATATATATAAACTATAGGCAAAAAGTAAAAACTTAATTTGATCAAATCAACATTTTAAATAAACAAAAGATTTTAATAATTTTACGTGTTTTTTTTTTTATTTCTGTGGTTTTTTTGAAAAATATCACGTACTTTAGCTCTCCTGAAAAGTTTTGATTTTTTAGATACGTGGTGTTGGATCGATATATATATATATATATATATATATATATATATATATATATATATATATATATATATATATATATATATATATATATATATATATATATATATATATATATATATATATATATATATATATATATATATATATATATATATATAGTATTGCCAGATAAAGTATTGCCAGATAAGAATGAATACTTATTATGCTAACTGTTAAAAAAAAAATTTACTTAGGCGAGATTATAATTTTTGGAAAAATAAAATTGTTGATTTAAGCACATGTGCAAGGTTATACTCAGGAAAAATGGGAAAAGCCTATATATTCTTTTGTAATCTAGAAAAAGGTACATTTTTTTCAATAAAGCCCAATAGGCATAGGGGATTTGAAAAAATTGCTTTAACTAAAACTTGTTAAAAGTCTATTTTCGTAATAATTATGACAGAATTATACTTTGAGATGAAGTTTAAGTTGGTCTTAATATATTACACATTTTTAATTATTGGTTTACATAATACATCGTGGTTCGCAACTTTTATAATTAGGGTTTAAGTTTATAAAAGATGGTTCCTAGATCTTTATAAAAGATGGATCCTAGATCTTACCAATAATAGTAAGTTCACCATTAAGTAATCATGGATTAGCTCTTACTTGAAGAAATATAAGTGTTTTTTTTGCGCTACGACTTTTTTTAAACTTATTTTGATATATTGGAGGTTTTTTCATCATATATATATATATATATATATATATATATATATATATATATATATATATATTATATATATATATATATATATATCGATAGCTAAACTCCAACACCACGTATCTCAAAAGTTGGCTGTGTTGAGTTAAATAGTGAATACGAAACTATAGGCAAAAAGTAAAAACTTAATTTGATCAAATCAAAATTTTAAATAAACAAAAGATTTTAATAATTTTACGTGTTTTTTTTTTTATTTCTGTGGTTTTTTTGAAAAATATCACGTACTTTAGCTCTCCTGAAAAGTTTTGATTTTTTAGATACGTGGTGTTGGATCGATATATATATATATATATATATATATATATATATATATATATATATATATATATATATATATATATGTATATATATATATATATATATATATATATATATATATATATATATATATATATATATATATATTCAAGTTCTGATGTAATAAAAGCTACATATATTGATTCAAATTTCCTCAGACGCCCTAATTCATAGAACTTATTTAACAAATTAATTGAAGCAACAGAGGTGTTTGATTTTGGAAAACTAATTCAAGTATCTATGGATGGTCTTAATATCAATTTTTAATCTGTTAATAATAATAACAATTAATAACAAAAACAGATAACGGTTGATAAGTTTTGCTATTCTACATTAAATAGTGTTCAAGATTTAAAAAAACAAAATCAATAAAAAACTGGTATAACACAGGTATATGCGTTAATAATGCATAAAAAAAAAATCGTTTTTTATAGCCAAATTTTATTTTTTTTTAGTTACTATTTGCTATACTTCGTCAGTGCATATACCATGTCATACAGTTTTTCACTAATTTTTTTAAGTAAGATCTTGAATACTATTTATTGTAGACTGGGAAAAAATTTTTTTGTCTTTATAAACACTTATAGAACCTTAGAAAAGTTCACTATCCGGCAAAAATATCCTGTACACCTCTAATTAAGAAGTCAAGCATTAGTAAGGTTTTTAACTAAAAAAAGAAAATCAAAAACAAAAATCAAAAAAAAAAAAAAAAAAAAAAGAAAACCAAAAACTAAAATTAAACAAAACCAATGTTATAGAAAGAACTTTTAGCCAAAGAGCCTATGTTTACAGAAAAGCAAAACTGTAATAAACCTTTCTAATAATGTATTCAAACTTCTTCGCGTTTTATATTTTGATAAATTAGACGAGTTACTTGCATGAATTTTATATTTATGTCAATTATGATACCTGAGCAGTTTGATTAAGTGTTGGTATTTATTAGAAGACCTTTTAGTTATTAATAAACAACTACAATTTTTGTATTTTTAATAATATATTAAAAGTTGTATTTTGTTTTGATAAAATTTTTTTATATTTACATTTATATATACCGCCAAATTTACAAATTTAATATGGACGTAAAGGACTATGAATGTCATGTAGGAAAAACTATGTAAAACGAAAAACTAAAACGTAAATTTCAAATTCTCGTCTTACACGTTTTTTGCATTTTTAAGCATGACTGACTAGTCAAATGCTTCAAAAAATAAAAAATATTAAATATTAATTTAGCAATTATTTAAAACTAAACAACACTAACAAAAACAACCATTTAAAACTGATTTTATGGTTTTAAAAACCAAGTTTACAATAAAAACAAATAAAATTAATTACTTTTAGAATCGATGAAAATGTTTTAATCTTACTTAATAAAAAAATAAAAATTTATTACCGTAAACAGACACATTTGTCACCCCCTAGTATTGCAACTGTGAGCGCTAAAATAGTGTAGAACATAAAATACTGCATTATCATTAAATACGTATTAAATGGATTTACATCAACGCTACTTGAAAAAAGATAAAAAATGCTTCAGCTACAATAAGAATAAAATTTACTAGAGTTTTATTAAATAGTTACAACCGTTGCGACCTTTTCAGTATTGTCTAAGCAACTTTCTCTTACGTGTTAACATACCACATGGATGTTCCATGCCCAGGAATATCATTAGAATCGTTGGTGCGTGCGCCATCTTCTTATCATGCGAACCATTTCTTGTAACTACTTTGCTTGAGAACTTATTCTTCTTTTTGAGCTACATTCTAGTCTCAACTAGAAAAAATATTTTTAAAAACATATATTTTTTAAGGATGACATATTTCGTACTTGTATGTCTATTTATAAATATCAAAATTTTATAAAGTAATATAAGAATTGTTGTAGCGATATATTTGCTGCAACGATAAGATAAAAAATTGTTTTCTAAGAACTTTTTATTTCTTTTATTAGTTTTCGGCCAAAGTTTAGAAAAAGTAGGAATGTCAAATAGAAAATATTCTATAAAAATTGACTTGTATTTAGTTAAATATCGGCTATTATGTTTGCTAAAACGTCATATTTTTTACATTTGTTTTCACGTGGGTTGGTTTAGCGCTTTAAACTATACATTCCAAAAATTGACTATTTCTAGTTCTCTATTTATCCTAAACCTTGATTTCTTTTTTTTTTGTTTTTATTGTTTTTAAAAATTGATGCGTTTGGGAAGAAAGGGAGGGGTGTGATTTTGTACAAATAATGCATACGCATGCAGATGTGAGGGGGAAGGGGAAGGGAGCATTTAAAGCTTACAGGTGCGTACAAAGGATGAGGGAGGGTCCTTAATCAGTGGTTTTAATGTGTACGTACTTTATGGATTTCCTAAAACTCGTCACTCAATAGAAATTGCCACAGTTGGTTATTAGTTTAAAAAGAAAATTTAACAATTAGTTTAAAAAAAAATTTAATTAAAAAGAAAACACCAAAGATCTGACAATGGAGTACAAGCAATCTTTTAAAATTTATTTAAAATGTAATATGTCTATAATTTTTAAAGAAATTGAAGGTTGGAATGCAATAAGCGAACTTGAAATTTGAAAACAAAATTCGAATCTAAAATTCGACTTGAGCTAATGCAAAGATCGAACTAAAACTCAAGCTATACTTAAAAACCGGTTGTTTTCAAGTTAGACTTAACATTTCAAATGGTGGAGTTTGTTGGACATTACATTTTAATCAGACTTTAGATATGAAGTATAACTTAAAATTTCAAGTTCTTGCATTTGAAAATGATTTGTGCTTTCTTAAAAATTATAGACATAGTTCATTTTGAATAAATTTTAAAAGATTGCTTGTACTCCATTGTCAGATCTTTGGTGTTTTCTTTTTAATTAAATTTTCTTTTTAATTAAATTTTCTTTTTAAACTAATTGTTAAATTTTTTAGATATGAAGTATAACTTGAAATTTCAAGTTCTTGCATTTGATAATGATTTGTGCTTTCTTAAGTTGCATGCATTATTTGTACAAAATCACATCCCTCCATTTCTTCCCAAACGCATCAATTTTTCAAAATAATATGCAACTTAGAAAGCACAAATCATTTTCAAATGCAAGAACTTGAAATTTCAAGTTATACTTCATATCTAAAGTCTGATTAAAGTGTAATGTCCAACAAACTCCACCATTTGAATGTTGTGAATAAATTTGAGGAAACTGGTTCAGTTCAAGATCAAAAAAATAAAATATACAGTCGTAGTTGTTGTTCTTTAGAAAATATTGTTGCTGTCAGTGAAAGTGCTACTAAAGAGCCAAAGACATCAATTCGTCATCATTCACAGCAATTGATTTAATAATTGAACAATGAATAGTAAATTTTTAGTTTGAAGAGTTAGAGCATATTAATATGCAGAATATGTGGTTTCATTAGGACTTTACAACAGGTTTCAATATGTAGTTTCCACAGGACAGTGTAACATGTCATACTGCAATAGAAACAATCAATTGAAAACAATTTTTTGAAAGAGAAATTTCGTGATCAAATATATTCTCGAAAAGAAGCTGTTAACTAGCCACCAATATCATGTGATCTAACACTTTTCATTTTATGGGATTTTTTAAAAAGCTAAGTAAACGCTAATAACCCTCAAAGCATTCAACATTTGAAAGAAAACATAATTGAGCAAATTACTCAAATTGAACCACAATTATGTTATCATGTGTTGGAAAATTTTACTAAAAGATTGGAAGCCTGAAAAACTGCAAAAGGTGGTTATTTATCTGACATTCTTTTATATTATTAACTGCCATGTGTCTACTTTAATATTCAATAAAAAAATCTGCTTATTTCAAAAAAATTATGAGTTTTATTAAAAAATTAAAAAATTGATTCAAATTTGAAAACCTTCTAATAAAAAATCTAATAAAAACTCCTCTCAGGCTATCATGCCACCACCATATTTTTTAATTATTCTTTGGCTCAATTTAGAAAAACTTCTTTGGAAAATCTTTCTTAAAAAAATGCAAATGAAAATTGCATTTACTTTAGGTTCGAAACATATACATTAAAAAAATTTAGAACAAATTCAAATAAAATTTCTTATCTTTATGACAAACAAAATAAAATCTTCAAAAACAGTGGCCAAAAATTATTTGCTGATTTAGCAAAATACAAATAATTAATAAGCCTCTTTTATGAGTAACAAGACAGTTATTTTACTTTTATTTTTTTTGGCCTGCCCTATAAGTCACACAAGGACATTCTTTTTTATAACTTTTGTTTTTTGACTAAAACTTGTTGATAATTTTATAAAGAGCAACTTTATTCTGATTAAGCTCAATTCAAGGCTTATTTATAAAAGAAAAACATATTTGTGATAAATAAAAAGCATCTTAAACATTTAGAGTTAAAAAATTTTGTGAAGCCTTTTTTTTCAAAAAATGAGCTTGAAAATAAAACTCTTGGAAATAAAATTTGCTAATATCAAACTTAAAATGTATCCTTGTATAATGATGCCCATCAAAAAAAAATTTTTAAACTAAATTTGATATTTCAGATAAAAAGTTAAGAAATTAAAACGAAAACAGGTTAAAAGAAAGACACCAATTATACTTAGTAAATAAGACTTTTATTAATTAATTGTATAAACTGACCAATGTCTTTATAAATTCTTTGTTCAATTTTTAAATAGATTATTATCAAGTCTATTCTAATATAAAATATGCATCAAAAAAACTTGCTCGCAAATAATAAAAAAACACACACCAAAAACCAAGTTGTACTTGCAGTGGCAAAAATAAAAAATGGCAAACCTTCACTCAACAAAACTTATAACTCTTTATAGGTGTGTCAACAAAATAGATGAAAAAAAATAGCAACGTTTCAAACGAAAGATTGTCCCAACATTTTGAATCAACTCTGGTTAATTCAAAATGTTGAATCAATAAGGCATCAATACACATATCAAGTTGTCTGATTGGGGCTTTAGTAGAACTTACAATGATGTCATCACTTTAGTTACCGACTATTTGTAATACTAAGGTCAAGCTCATCGTTTTGATTCACAATGATACATGAGTGAAAGATAGGTACAAGGTTTTCATCAACTGGTTGAGTCATAATTTGAGCATCAGAGTTGTTGGCAATATTTCATCACTCAGAGCTGCAAGAAATAGTACAGAAGTATTTTAAAACACTGCATAGAGAATTCAACAAAGCAGGTATTAACAAAAACATTTTATGTCATTTGTGGAATTTTGATGAAATAGGTTTTGATTCCAACACATTGACATACAAAAAAGAAATATTTAGATGTGCCAAGATGCAAAGAGGAGTGACTCAATAAACATGAAATATTCTAAAGATTAAAAGGTGCTGACAGTAAAAAAGCAGCAAAGCATGCTAGGAAACAACATAAGGTTGACTTTGATGATGAACAGCAGATAAATCGATCAACAACAGCAACTTGAAAACTAAAATCAGCAGCAAACCAAGTCAAGTATAAAAAGTGCCATAATGCTTTGAGCGAAACTTAAGTAAGTAAAAATAGTGAATGATATAAGTGAAAAAAAGATTTGGCTTTGTCAAACATGCATTCCAAAGCAATATATAAAAGGCACAGAGTTTTATTGCAAGATATACATGCAAGATATACAATATAAAAACAAAAAGATAGATATACAAGCAAAAGCAAATAAATTAAAATAAAAAAATCCTTGATAAGAAAAAATTGTACACAGACAAACATGGAGAAGTATTAAAATTTATAAAAACAGAAGTTGATTGACCAATGCAGTGACTCATTTGTCAACTCTGTTTGAATAAACTTCTGTTTGAACATTTGCTTGAGTTAGTTGATGGAGAAAATATCTGGCACTGAATCATTTAAAGAGATAAGAAACCGCCAAGAAATGTTGTGTTCATTTTAAAGAGAATGATAAAAAAACGTTTGGGCTAAATTTTTTTGATTAAAATAAAAGAATAAATGCATACCAAGAAAAACTAACTTTTTTAATTTAGTTGATGCTTGCCTACTCCATTATGTTGTAGGCCAAAAGGTCTTCTTAATATGATATCATATATGAACAGTATCATATCATAATGAACAGTATCATATCATAATGAACAGTAATCTACAGACTTGATAACTTATTTAAGTTTTATTCAAAAGAGTTATAGTTCAAGACGCGATTTATTTTTTTTGTTCGTTTAAAAGATCAATTATGTAAACAAACAAAAAAACCAATGACAACATGTACTATAACTCTTAGAAATCAAAGGTGCTTGAATAAATTATCAAGTCTGTGGATTGCAGAGTATATTACGAAGACATTTTGGCCAACAATAAAACGGAGAAGGCGAGCTTCGACTAAATTAAAAAAATTAGTTTTTCTTGGTATGCATTTATTCTTTTATTTTAATCAAAAAAATTTAGCCTAAACATTTATTTTACCAATACCTTTAATATGAACACAACATGTCTCGGACCAATACCTTTAATATGAACACAACATGTCTCTCATCTTCCAACAAGGCTGCAAGCAACCACTAATTAGTGTTGGAAGTTACTGGAAGAGAAAAGATAAAGATTGTAGAGCAAGATAACGATTGACAGACGACTTAAAAGATTGCAAATTATATGAATCAGGAAAGCAAGATGAAGGAAGCGAATTCCAAAGAACTGATGTTCGAGGAAAAAAACTAGACGAATAAAAGTTTTTGAAGCACTTAGGAACAGTAACAGAAAAAGGATAAGACTTAATTGAATGACGAGTAACATCATTAGAAGATCCGCCCCA